AAGAAGAAGAAGAAGAAGAAGAAGAAGAAGAAGAAGAAGAAGAAGAAGAAGAACAACAACAACAACAGCAACAACAGCAACAATACCACCAATATCAATACGTAAGAGTAAGGGAATGAGTGAGACTTATAGGTCTGGAAACACTTTAAAAGAAACACAAGTAAGATGGAAATCAGCTAAACGAGAAAAAAACCTACGAAAACAAAATGTATTACAAAATAAAATAGGAAGACAAACATGAAAAACAACTAACAAACACACTCATTCACCCCCACCAACCACATACACACTCACCCCCCACTCACCCACCCACACACACACACCACACAGACACACACACACCACACACACATACAAAGACACACATATACACGCATATACATAAACACTCACGATACACAGTCTAGTTATATATTTTTTTAAACCAACACCCATTATTTAAAAACACAATCTGAGAAAAACAGACTCAATGTTTCAACATACATATTTTATCCCCCCCCAAGAAACTATCAATATTAATTACTTACACGTCTTTTCGGACTTCCTTTCGCAGCCTGTCCAGTGAACGCCTGGTTTCAAACTCCAAGACAGAGAGAATGTTGTCAAAGAATTGGTCTCCAGTGAAGTTCAGCTGTGAAACGTATTAAAATAGATGCTCTGTGTAACAGTATTATTTTTTTTACCCTAATGTGCTTGTACCCTAATGTGTTGGCTTTGATTTTTTAAAATGAGCAAACAGAAGATAGAGAGGGAAGAAGGAAGAAATGGACGATTATCTGGAAAGGACAGAGGTCGCCATAATCAGACAGCCACCGGAACAATCAGTATGGATACGTTGCGGGTTTCGGTGCCGGGTGAACTGAGCACTTATGGACCTGTCCGGTTCGCAATGACGTTGCTGCCCAGGACAGGTAATACAGGTAAGCAAACAGAAACTAATGTTCCTGCTTGATGAGAGCTCTTCATAAAAGAGTCATTGCACTTGGCGTGTGGCGGCTGATCAACATGTCGCCCTGGTGTCCTGTGTCTTGTGTCCATATTAAGGCATTTGTGGTCTATCCTGTTTGATATCGACCATCCACCCCTTTACACACTGTATATCTAAATTTCCCCAAACAAACCAAGTTAAAACACGCCCCACTAGGGATTCGAACAACAAAAACAACAACAAGACGAAAGAGTAAAGCCCATATTTCTGTCCCATAGCCGAATTCGATAGCTTGTGAGTCGTTGGCACAACCTCTTCTTGCGAAGTCAACTCAATAAATATTAAAATTATAGAAGCCC